TCAGGGGCAGTTAGATTAGAAGAAAAAAGCAAAAAATCTTGAAAAACATTTAGCAAGGTAAAATCAATTAGGGTTAGTTTTAAAAGAGTCAAGCTGAGATCTTTAAAAGGAAAAGAAAAGTAAGTAGAAAAGGAGGAAGAGAAGGAAGAGTAAGAGGAAAATAATGAATAATTTAGTTAATTGAATTTGTAATTTTTTAATAAATTTTGTGAAATTTGAATTTTTTGCTATAGTAATTTTTTTGCCAAATTTTTTATTGCAGTATCAATTTTTGTTGAATTTTTTTCTGTAGTAATTTTTTTATCAAATTTTTTGCCGCAATAATTTTTTTGTCAAATTTTTTGCTGCAGTATCAATTTTTTTGTCAAATTTTTTGTCACAGTATCAATTTTTTTGCCAAATTTTTTGTTGCAATATCAATTTTTTTGCTGAATTTTTTATCACAATATGCAAAAAAATTTTTTGCCATAATATTGACAGATTTTGTGCCAAATTTTTTTTTCCCAGAATGCCGATATTTTTTTATTGATTTTTTGCTGATTTTTTGCAATATTTTTAATGCTGAGTAGCAGCAATCATAAATACTATAATTCGTCAATATTTTTATTATTAATTTTTACCAAATTCAGCAATAATTTGGCAGCTAAATAATATAATTTCGACTAATGTGATGTCTTGTTCATTTTTCAAAATAGTTATTAATTTTAGTCTTTATTTTCTTAGGATCTATAATTATTATGATATTATCTATTGTTATGTGTTCTATAAGTTTTATTATATCTATTTTTCTTTATAATTTGTTCAGTATGCTATCGACTATTTTTTTTTATTATTCTTGCAGATATTTGAAGTGTTTCTCAATTCTACTATTAATGATCTTGTTTTTCTCCTTTGTGATTTTTTGTTGTGCTGCTAAGATTTTTATTTTCCATAGCCCATGAAGTTCTACTAACCATAAATATTGTTTGCTGCAAGTATCTGGAGTATTGTGTAAGCTGTTCAGTGGATTGTTGATTTTGTTTTCTTTTTTATTGATGGCTTTTATCATTTCAACTATCTTTTGCTCTGTCCTGTGATTGATGATATTAGCTGTAAGGTACATTTTATATATCTTATATGTTTTTTCCATTAGTAGTAATAGTTGCATTATCTGTTTATATTTGGAGGTATAGATTGTTGTAATGTTTCTACTCTTCTATTTTTTCTTTAAATATTTTTTGCTGATTTCTAGCAATATGTTTTTAAACCCATTTCAGATATTCTCTACTGTTGGATATTTGTTTGTTAAGATCCTTGTTATCTTTTCTTCTACCTCTTCTTTAAAATTATTTTACTGTTTGTCTGTTGAGTTATAATAATCAAACTACTTTGTATTTATATTCTTTTTATTTGTTAACTTATTCCAATGATTGTGCAATGTGTTGATTTTGAGGATTACTATTTTGTGGTTAGTAATGATTGCTATATTAAATGATATGTGTGATGTCTATATGATATGCTGTACTAATGATCCTGATATTCATATGTAGTTCAGTCTACTACCATATCCACTTTTATTCTTGGTATATATGTGGCTCCTAATACTTAGATTTATATGTCTATAAATATCTGTGAAGTCAAGTATTATAAGTGTATTAATTATATCCTTGTTGCATATCTCGACCTTCTTTTAGTAATAGTTCTATCTAGGATTCTATCTGATATCTCATTAAAATCTTTCAAAATGATTATAAATAAGTTCTTATTTGATGCTTCTTAAATTGTTCATTCCAGCCATTTAACTAGTGAGAGCTTTTCTTTTATTTGCGTTGGGTTTACAGAGCTGTAGATTATGATTATTTGATAATTGATTTTGATTTTAAAGACCATATTGATAAATAAACCTATGTTTTATCAAGTTTCAGAATTGTAAATATGTATTGCCCATTTTTTATTAATTATTATGCCTACTCCTGATCCTGTCTAATACTATATATCACTCGTGATCTATATTATGAATTTGTTCTCCTTGTTAGTCCATCTATAATTGTATATAGCCATATTTCTATGATATCTATAATATTATATTGTTCTTTATGTACAAGAGTTGTAAGGGTTATTTGTTACTCTTTTTATTGATATCTCTGATATTTATTATATCAATTTTTCAATTTTTGACTAATGTATCTTTATTGTTTGTTGTATCTATTATGTTTTGAGATAGTTTTTGATGTCTTGATGTTGATTTGTGATTATTTTTATCTAATTTATCTTTTCTCTTTGAAGGTTTCCTTGTTATTTATTCTGTTATATTATTATGGAAAGTTGCAGACTAATAGAACTGTCTGTTGTACTAGTTTAAAAAGATTTATTACTTCTTTTATTGTGGAGCTCATCTTGTTAAGTTGCTTTTGATAAGCTTTCTGGATAGACTTAATATCTTGAATATTCATACTTGTATCAGTTGCTTGTTCTTTGTTGTTGTTCTGCATGAACTCTTCTAGCTCTTTTATGGATTCATTTATGCTTTTTGGATATCTATTGGCACATTTATGTTCTAAAGCATTTATTCTCTTATTCAGATCTTGAAAAGTATTTTTTATCTCTTTTATTTCTTTCTAGATTGCTATGAATAAAGATGGGTTCTTAAAAAGGGAGACAAGGACAAAAAGTCAAATGTTCCTCACTAGAAAATATTAAAAATTTTAAATTAATAACTATAAAAAAATTACCTACAATTGTTCTCCATTATTCAAATCATTGATTTATAACATTTTCTGACTTTTGTTCCTATTAAATCAAAGAGCTATAAATTTTATTTCTCAAAAAGGAACATAAGTAATCTGCAAAATGTTATATATCAAATACTTTAGAAATCCAACATTAGCTGTAAGGGTCTTCCAAATATCTTCATAGTACTAGTTATTATCAGGGTTGCCATATTTAAGTATATTTGTATAGCTTCTTGAATTGTCATCTGTTCTGAATTTTCTGATGTTCTTGAAACTTGAGTTGATTCTATATATAACTTGAGAAGAAAATCTCAGATTGTGATATGTATGCTTCTTTACTATATAGTCAATGAAGCTTGAATGTCTCTCTAGGTTTTATGAATATTTGGACTTGGACTGATTTATCAGTTTAAGTTATTGCTTATAAAGCTTTTTTTAGTATCTAGAAAGGTATTAATCTATACTGACCTGGCTAGGAGCTTTGTAAGGTTGATGTTGAGTTTTCAAAAGCTTACTGTGATTTAGTTTTTCTTGTTGGTTTTCTCTTTCTAAAAGAAAAAATTTATATAGTAGAAGTTAGTAATTTTATAAAACTTATTTCTTCTGTACTCTGTAAAGAGTTCTTGAACTTGTTTTTGTAAGTTGTTTAGTTGTAAAGGCAGTTTTTCTTGTTTTTTTTGACTAGTTTTTTTTTTCTCAAAAAATTACTAAAAAAAAAGAAATTTTTTGAAAAATGGAAATCAGTAGAAAGAGTTGTTATTTGAATATCATTATAAATATTTATATTATTTGAAGAAAAAAAGAAATATATTATAGATAAATGATAAAAGAAATTTTACAATAAAAAAAGAGAGGGTAATTGATAATTTATATAAAGAAATTAATAATATTTACTGTATCTTTAAAAAAATATGATTATATATATAATCAATTGAATGAAACTTCAAATATATCTAGAAAAGATTTTTTAAAGAAATTAAAAAAAAAATTTTTTATGATAGTTAAATAAAAATAATAGAAAGGAATTTAAATTGAGTAATATAATTAGTATATTAGAAATTTGATATTATTGAGTAAGATTTTAGAATAAAAGGATTTATAAATAATAAAGATTTAAATTTTAAATTAAGATGAAATTTTGTAAATCATGATTAATGAGTATATAAAGGATATGATATATTTTTTTATTACAATAAAAATGTTTATAAAATTATTTTTAAAAATCATATTTATAATATTTAATATTTTTTTATTTAAAGATCAATTGGGATTTTGATAAGTATCAAAAATATGTAATATAATTTTTTGAGATATAATTTTTTCTTTGGATCCTAAAAAAGATGTATTCTATGGTTTTCAATATTTTAATTATAAAGAATCTCTTTTGATTTTTGAGTTAAACTTTTTGTTAAAAAGTTTATTAAGTTTAATATAAATAGAAAAAAAATTTAAAGAAAAAATTAAATATAATAATAAGATTTCATATTATTAAACACCTGATAGTGATAATTATAATATAAAGTATATAAAATGAATTGTATAAAAATCAATACATTTGAAAAAAAATATTGTTTTAAATATAAGAAGTTTGATTATTATATTAATATGATGTATATTGATTTGATAATTCTCCTATTAAATGCAATTTTTGTAATAGATCAATTTTAATTTGATAATTAATAGAACGATCAAAAATTCTATTCTCATACAATCTAATTATTTTTTTATATAGTTATCATGTGATATTGAACTTTGGACCTTGTAATTGTAATCTGAAAACACTATTACTATACTATAAATTTATAGATTAAAACTAAAAAATTTTATTTTTTTATAATATATTTATATTTCTTTTTTCTTTTTTTTAATCCATAATTTTTTGCATTTCAATATCTTGATAAAATATATGCAATAACAATCTGCTAACAGTATTATAATGGATTAAAAGAATCTTTACCTAAAATCCATTATAAAGCAAAATATTGTCTTTAAATTCAAAGATATTCATAAATTTTTACCATATTTGTTCAATGTTTTGTGTCGATCTTAATTAGACCCGGATTGCATCCCGGTTAAAATTAAATTCCGTGGTGAATATGACTCGGCTTTTATTAAAATCGACAAAAAAAATATCTATAGGAAATCATTAGTTTTTGTTGAATTCGATAATTTGGATTCAGACGCAAGCCTATGCATAAATTCTAATCAAAGAATAAACTATATTAAACGAAACAAATTCAGATTACTGAAATAAACAGGGTTCAATACAGAGAAATTATTAATTATAAATTAATCATTTTTCTTTTCATCGTCATCCTTATCATCTTCAACTGTCGTACGAAGGTCTCTAGCTTTTTTAATACCTTCAGCATCTTCCTTGTGTATTTCCTCATCCTCATCATTATCAGGTACCTTTTCCTTTTTATTTGGCACCTCCCAATCCCACAACGGAATAAAACTATCAATGAATCCAACGTCCGCCAATAAATTTGGAAACAACCATATTCCAGGCGGTATAACAACCATGCTGAGAAAAAACAACACAGGTCTAATAGCAATAATTAGAATAAGCACTCCAAAAAGACTTAGTATGAATACCGAAATGTACCACACAAAGTTACGCAACATGACTGGCCAGAGAGGAAATAAAACACCAGCAAATACAGCTCCTATTAACACAAATCCACCCAAATAGTTTAGCAGTTGTGATCCTTCATAAAACCATACATAATATTGGTCTTCGGCCCATAGTTGAATAGGGTTTATGGTTAAATTTTTGCTACGAGAGCCTTCTGCCCCTACAGAGCGTTCAACTCGCGCATAAAAAGCATAGGACAAAACCTCTTCTAGAACTTTGCAAGCCTCTATTTCACTTGTAACCTCCGGAACATCCTTTTTTTTACTGTAGGTCTCTTTAAGCAAGGCTTTTATGGCTGTTTTACCTGTTAAAATAAGGAATAAATATTTTCTTACTTTCATAATCGAAATAATTGCTGTTGTTACCTTTAAAATACTCTACTCTTTTGCCATTTAAAATGCCTTGGCGAGTTTTTAGGGTCGATCTCAGGTATTTTACTACATTTTGAAGAGGGGGAGGAGCCTTCTCCATTTTATTTTTTTGTGACTTATTTCTGACCCTTGAGGCGAGACGCCAATTAATAAAAAAAAATTTTTGAAAACGTTTACCAATCGAATTACACCACATTACAAACATTTTGTAAATTATGGTCCAATAGAAAATTACGTTGATCCTAAAATATTTCTTACCCGGTTTAATTTATACAAGATTGCGAGCAATAAGTTTTTTCCAAAAATTCCATATATAGTATATACACTCGGAATCAGAAATCGATTGACTAAAAAGATACACTAAATATCTATTGTATTTATTTTTTTTTTAAGTGTTTAAAGAAACGATGCAAAGGAGTTTTTTTTTATAGCAGAAATTAATTAATCGTAGTCACCAACTATACTCTAACAATAAATATTATTAAAAAGTGTGTCATTTTTCCTGCATAGAAAAAAAATGTATATTGTCGACACTACTAATCAACTTCCATACTAGTATTCTCATTTTCTGGATTTCCTTCACTCCTTGGCTCTTCGTTTTTAGCATCACCTTCCGACGTTGGAGTCTCGGTACTTTTATTTTCGGATGTCGCGTCGGGGACTGGTGTTTCTTCAGGTTTAGGTTCAGAAGTCGGAGTTTCTTCGGGTTTGGACTCGGGTTCAGGTTTGGGCTTAGGTTTTGACAGGATTGGTGAGGCAAAATGCACTAGATTCTATATACAAATGTTTTGTCAGTGGATTTGATGCAAATCGAACCGTGAATTGTAAATGAGATAATACGAACCTCGCGTTCCTTTAAAATTTCACGGGAGGTAACAGCTGGTAGTTGGTACTTTGGAACGTTGGCTTGTGTTGCAAGTTTCTCATTCAACCATTCCGAGATTTTATTAGCTTTCTCTACAATGCTTTTCTTCTCTTCCTCAGGAATGTGTGCAAATCTTTCATCATTGCTAGTGGCATTTAGGATAAATGAACTAATACTTTCTCGCAATAAATTCTCCGCTCTTGGAAGATCTTCTGCCTCACGATAGCGTTCGACGATAGGTACTCCGTATTTCTTCAGTTGATCGAGTTTTTCTGAATAAATGGATTTCGTCGAATCTTCTCCTTCATCATAAAGCCATTCCTCAGTCTCATTAAGAAGTTTAACGAAAGTTTCTTTGATAGCTGGATCAACAAATTCAGAATATGTTGTTTCAACTTTTGAACGAATATCATATACATATTCTTCGAGCGCATTTTTTTGGGTTTCCGTGTCAGCAACAAGTTTGTCAGAGACGACCATTTGTGCTTCAAGTTCCTTATACTGTGTAATTACGGCTTTATCTAATCCACCATGAACGGAAATAACTGGTAAATCTCCTTTCTTCATAAGTTTTTTAACTTTCTTAACCGCAGGTTTGGAGGCTTCTTCGGGTTTTGCATCAGTATCCATCGGTTGAGATTCGCTTACTTCTTCTTTTTCTTCTTTTATAATTTCTTCAACAACGTGTGCATTTTCTATAGAAAGGACCCCATGGACATTGAGCCTGGATTTGACCTTTACAATACTTAAGTCTCCGTTTTCGGTAGGCTCAACCTGTTTAATTGAAAATTTTCCAATCCAAGGACTTATCCCCGTAGGAAGTTTATCCGGCTCAGCGTAATAAGCTTCGATATCAAATTGTTGTTTTCGATAAAATGTCAATATTTTCGTGGACGGAATGCTATTATATTTAGAATATACAACGAGTTCCGACTCTTCATCTGGAATTTCTGGAATTTTTTCCCACGTGATTTTAACAGGATAAGTAGTGATATCTTGGACAGTAAATTCGCGAACCTTAAATACAGGAGATAAAATCGCACATTGAAGTGCGCATCCACGAGCAACCGCCTCATCTTGGTTAAGAGTGTACTTTAGTTCTTGACCAAAAAATTTTGAAATCCTTTCTTTAACGGATGGAATACGTGTTGAACCACCAACAACTTCAACTGAATGGATATCTTCCAAGGAAAGTCCGGATTCTTGAAGCGCTTGTGCAAGAGGAATCTCTATTCTATTAAGAATATGTTGAGACAGCTCTTCGAATTCCTGACGAGAAATAATGGCACTAACATCGATGTCATTCATTATGGATTCCACGTTGAGAGGAGCCTGAGTATTTGCCGAAAGCACCTTCTTAAGTTTTTCCACCCCCGTACGAAGTCGGAAAAGTGCCCTTGGATTTGATCTAATATCAATCTTGTATTTTTCCTTGAATACCTCGACAAAATGATTAACTAAAACTTCATCAAAATTACGACCACCTAAGTGTCTATCATAAGCAGTAGACTTGACCGTCAACTGCCCCTTGACGAAAGAAACAATTGTTACACTATAACTTGAATGCCCAATATCAACGAACACGACATTACGAGGCTTGTCCTCTGGAAGGTCTGTCTTCGTAATACCATATCCGAGTGCTGCAGCAGTGGTATCGTTTAGCAGACGTAAACAATTTAAACCTGCAATCTCGGCAGCATCAAGAACGCTACGACGTTGAACATCGGTAAACCACCCGGGTACCGAAATTACCACATCCGAAACGGGAATTTTCAGCTCCACGGAAGTAATATCTTTAAGCTTTGTAAAGTACATGGCAACTAGCTGTGTATTTGTAAATACGCGTTCTTCATCAAGATATTGAACCTTATTAACAATAAACCGTGTCAGAACTCGTGGATTTAATAATAAAACTACTTCAATTTATATTAATAAAAATAAATATTACCTTCACAGCAACCTGACCCCTCTCATCAACAAAATCAGCATTGATATATTTCTTTTCTATTTCGTGAATTTCCTTATCTTGAAAAGAACGACCGGCCAGGCGTTTCAGAGAGCCAACGGTATTCTTGAAATTTGAAATTTCTTGAGTTTTGGCTGCTTCACCTAAATATCTATTCTTATTTCCAAATGAGACTAGAGACCTAATAACGAATGAAAATCAATCGCAGAGAGAATTAATAGTAATTCTCGGCGGCCCTTATCTAGGTAAAAAGTATATAACATAAATCACCAAAATTACAAAAAAAACAATTTTTATAAAACAAAATATAGAAGATCACGTACGGAGTGGCTCTATTTGAAACTTCGTTACAAATAACGTCAATTCCACGATTGCGTGCTACTGCAATCTTAGATTGGAGATTACCAAAGTCGATTCCTGTAGAAATAACATAGATATGAATGGATTCTGCGAGTACATACATCTAAAAATGTTGCGTAAGCATTCAGTTACATACCTACAACGGACATTATAAGGATGCTTTAAAGAACACGAATATATTCTCGGACGTAAGAATTAAAGGCTGTATATATATCAAACTACAAGTTTTTTATACACGAATTTTTACTTCGTTTGCTTATATACGAACCAATGGGATAGATCAAAGAAAGATCTTGAATAATCTGGAATTTCTATGTTATTCCATAGTATTCTTTGAATCATACACGTAAGTCCTGTGACGAAGTAACTTAACATATATAGTTAGCTTACATCTATTCTTTGATATAGTCATGCTAAGTATATTTTATTAAAAATTTTTAGTCTTGTAGAAATATACAGTATATTGTATAAATAATAAATATAAATTTTGTTTTTTTCAAAAATAATAATAGAATTTAATTGATTTATATTAATAAAATTATTGAAATATCAAATTTTTTTTAAAAATGGATGTTTTTTTAGATTTTTTCAAACTAACTTACTACTAGTTTTTTGAAAAAAAGAAATATATTTTTTATATAATTCTGATTATTATGATCTATTACTAATATTCAATATGTTTAAAAAAAAGTATGAATTTAATAATCTTATATATTATATAAAAATAAAAAAAATCATTTAAATAAAAATAGTAAATTTTGAAATGATTATAAAATAAAAAGAATAGTTATAACTTTTATAAATAAATAAGTTTTTGATACTTATTCCTATAGTTATAATACTTTTGAAAAATAATAAAAAAGAAAAGATTACAGTTCATATTATATTTATTTACTTTATTTTTATTTTTATTTATTTATTTTTTTTTTTAATCCACCATCAGGCTGACATCGGCTTATCTTTATTGTGTATTTAAAATATTATATAATTTCAAAGATTTTTACATGACAGCTCACCTGTCTTAAAAGTTTAACTTCTCTAGATATAACTTAGGAAATGATATTTTGTTCTCTTAATAACTTGGATTATTCTTTAGCTATCAAGTTCATTGCTTACAGGTCATCACTGTAAATCATCCAAAATTCTAAATAACAGATCAAATACTTAATCACGTTTCCCCTTTAACTATTTATTTTTCAATAATCTCCTCAAGATTTATATCTTGGGATTGTTCTTCATATAATATCTTGTCTATTAAAGGACTATTATCTTCTTTTGAATTTTTTGTGTTTTCAAGCTTGTTTTTTAGAACTCGGTGTCGTTTGGATCTCCTATCAATATTCAAGGTTTTTTCCCATTCAATTACCACTTTGCAACATTTATTCCAGATCTTTTTCTTGAAATTCTTTCATATTCATTGACATAATCTTCCTATAGCTTTTCTCGTAATGAGTGGCTTTATCTTGTAATGTAGTTTGAAGAAGTCTTCAATATCTTTCATTTTGTCTTTATATATATATCCACATTTTATTTTAAAAAGACTCTATTCCTGTTGCTATATTTTATTAAGCCACATATTAACTACTTGAAGTATAGCTTCTTGATCTTTGTCTTTGACTTCCACTTGATCAATAATATATTGAATCAACTTTCTACTTGCTTCTTTCCAGATGTCTAGTTTTTCGAAGCTTATTGCTGAACACAAGAATAGGTGATCAGTTGTTTCTTCATAAGTTTCATATCTAATACAAGTGGTTAATTTATAAACTTCTGGTTTTCACTTCTTAAGTATTTATAATGTTGGAAGTTCATCATGAGTAAAATTCATCAAAAAGCTTTTGTCCTTGTTATTCTTAAAGGATGTATACAATATATGACAAATATTAAACTGGCCCCCAAAAACTGTTCAGTTTATCTTGGTTTCCTCTTTATTCTATCTATTTTGAATCTATCTTTGATTACTCCAGTCATGGCTAATCTTTAGATGATTCTATTCCTTAATGAATTCCCAGATACCAATATCAATGGTCAGACCTTTTCATATTATTATAGAGAAGATTGTATCCATTTCTGGTGTGTGTTGCCATTCTATTGGATTTTCTTTTCTAGCTAATTTTGCTAGTGTATCCGCCATATTGTTGAAATAGTCTTCTTTGTGTGCACAGACCTTTTCTAGTGTTAAAGTAAGGCTTTTTTTCTTAACTAG